GATTTAACGGAAGTTAGTTTTCCGTCCAATTGGGTCCTTATTTGAGAATTTGGTGGAGTTCGGGACCTTCATTGAGCGCAATTGAAGTTTGGGTCCGAAATTGCGAATTTGGTGTAAGTTCGGGTCCTTATGTCATATTTTTGCCTTTATAGTTAAATAGTCTTGGAAGGTTGTTTATGTGGTGAAACTTTATCTTTCTAAATATCACACATTCATGAGTGATGATAGAGGACAAAATTTTAAAACTAATTATGTGATTTATGTTATATTATTAAATTAATTAATATATAATATTATAAGTTTCAAAAAATAAAAAAATTAATAATTAAATAATATAAAATTTATTTTTTTAATATTTTAAATGATATAACTTATATTAAATCTTTAATCTCAAATTTTGGTCCTAAATTTTTATCCCATATAACATTATTCTATCCATAGATTGGACTTTGGGCAAGGCGTACCGAATTAGATTTCATAAGCTCAGTTTGAGGCGTTGAATTATTGTACAACAGATGGCAAAGATTGATTTTTCCTTTTTCTTTTTTTGTATAATCGTGGAGACAGGTATGAATAGGAAAATATATAGATGCTTGTGGTATTCCCATGGATACTTTCTCCTTCAATAAATAAGGAGATGAAGAATCGGTTGGACTTTAAAAAGACTTTATGCTGGGTAAAAATGGGAGCAAGGCAATTAATAAAAGTAATGATGCAGCGGACGAAAACGCGGGACGAAAATGGGGGATAACAAATGATGTAAGGGGGTCAAATTGGTAATTGCACTACATACATAAATTTTGCATCACTTGTCGTCCCCATTTTCATTCCGCGTTTTCGTCCGTTGCATCATTACTCAATTAATAATGGTTAAATATCAATTTTAATATCTCAACTTTAGTATTTTGTATAATTTTAATTTTTTAACTTAAAAAAATACATTTATTTAGTCCATGGACAAAGTTAAATGTGATGGAGGACTATAATACGGTTTGGAAGAGTAGACGGAAAACTTTGAACTATTTGTAAGTATAAAGAGGACAATGAATGAAAATTAAAAGTAGAGGGACTATAGTTGGCTTTAACCCCCTACAAAAATGAAGCAAAAAAATTCTCTCTAAATCATCTACTGATTTGAAATAAAGGGACTACTGTTTACACCATAAATTACAAAATTTTAAATTAATGCCACGTGTAAATTATTTGGACCTTGATTGGTGCACACTCGGATCCAATACCCGAGTGTGCACCCCCACATAAAAAAAAAAAAATTGGACCAAGTGGTGATGGGCTTTTTTTTTTTCAATGGGGAGTGTGCACACCCGGGTGTTGACCCGGGTGTGCACACATCATTTTCCAAAATATTTTTTATTGATTGGAGAAGATTGAGCCATGTCAGATTCAGATTCTGAGTTCCATGACAGATCAGCACTTGTGTTGGTAAAAGAGGAGAGGTGAAGATAATTTTTTATGAAGTAATTATCTTCTTGAGACAGAAAGGGATAATGGGAGCTAAAAAATAGGAGAATATTGCAGTTAAAAAGGGGGTTTTATCTTATAAGAGTACAGGTGGTGAAATCTGCAAGGAGATTAGACCAGGTCAAAGGGTGAGTTGTCCCATTATCTCAAGAAACCACTCATGATTGAGTAACTGCAAAAAGTGGAAGTTATTGCCGGCACAAGGAGAACAAAAGGGAATTTTTGGAGGGAGGACGGGCGGGCCACCTTTCTTCAACCTTTTGCAATTTTTTGGCTTTTTTTTTTTTTGCATTTTGTTTCTGGTTTTTGATTTTCGGCTCGTTTTTTGTTGGATTTGGTTTTTTTTTTATCATTCCAGTAGGCAAATTAATTCATGTATTGAGTTCAACCATTTCCTTTCATGCAATGAACTTCAATCTTTCAAGTTTATGCAAGGTATTGTTCTCTTTCCATTTGTAATTAATTTAATGTTTATGATAAGTAGCATTTTATTCAATGATTACTTATGCGGTGTTCATACCTCTTTTCAACCTTAATCATGGTAGTTTAATTACTGTTCACGTTAATTTTAATGTTAATTAAGATAAAGTCTTTAATTATCAGCATTTTAATTTTCATATTTACCAGTACATAGCATTTTAATTTAACAATGAACATGTTTAGTTTAATTTGGTACAGTTTTTTCTCACTAATTTACTTTAAATTGTAGGTTATTTAGTTCAATGAGGATTTGTCAATTTTAAGTCACGGTAGTGTTTAAGTCCTTGAAATTGTCCAAGGCATATTTCATAACCCATTTTGCAGGAATGTATCTCTCCCTTTTGCAAATCGTCTGATGGCGCAAATTTCATTTTAATCCAACATTTTTCCCGTCATCTGCAAAGAGATCGACTGTGAGGAAGGAGAGGGTTGCTAGGAAAGTCCTCCTTTCTTATTTTCGACAAAGTAAGTGGCACACCTGCATCTAGATTTCACACGTGCGAGGCCACTAAAGGATTTTTGAGGAAACAACTACTAATTAAAAATTGCCGGTAACTAAATTCTAAAAAGACGACATCATGCAATTTTGTTAAGGACTTTTTTAACACGTTGCCTTAAGTCATGCTTAATTAGAGGGCCAAATTTTTTTTAAAAAGTTTTATACGAAAAATTGATAAGTATTGTATGAAATGTAAGTAAATTTTGTAATAAAAATGTTTAAATTGTTAATCTTTTTATATTTGGTAAGAAATTAGTATTTGGTAAGAAATTAGTATAAGGAAAGTTGGTAAAAAAATTATTAAATGGGTCTTATATAAGAAAAGATGGAGAAGAACTTTTTTGTTTTTTCCTTCAAAAAGTATGAAAAAGGAAAGTTTATGAATTAAGAATTATGTCAAGAAAATAAAAGTTAAAAATATAACTTTTACGCTCTTTTATTGTAGTATTTATATATAAAAATACGTAAATAACTTTATAAAGAGAAGAATTCAAAAAAAGTATAAAAGAAATGGAGTATTTGTTTTAGAGATTTGAGAACAATGATCAACTGTTTGTCCTAATTAAAAAAATTCAAATATTCTAAATTATAAAAAATAATTATTATTAAATATTAAATATTAAATATTAATTATCAACTGTGTTAGTACATCTAATCCAAACACTCTTAACTTGAATTTTTATAAGGTGTTTAGTTGGTAGAATATTTTCTTTGTAAAGTTGTCTAAACTTTTCCTTCTTCCTCACTTGATTCAAGACTTAAATTTGAGAATTTTAAATTATCAAATTCTTAATCGTTGAGTCATTTTATTAGAATTCTTTATAAGGTTATTTATATATTTTTATATATTAATATTACAATAAAAGAAAGTAAAAGTGGCGTTTTAATCTTTGTTTTCTTTGACACAATTCCTAACCCATAAAATTATCTTTTCACTTATTTTAAAAG